CCAGGAGCAAGCCATGTGGCCTTGTGAGCTAGGAGTGCAGGGGCCACTCAGCTCAGGCCCTGCCAGTAGCATTGACAATGGGCATCAGCTTACCTGTTGCCTCCTTCTGCACTGTCACCAACTGGCAGGAGGAGGTAATGGATGAACTGACATTAGTCATCTTCGCTGCTGAAGGATCTGAGCCAAATATCCCCTGTGACACCAGCAGAGCCACCGGGCATGGCTCTGCTTGTTCCAGGCCAGCAGCATCCCTACAAGGCAATGGCATGGCCAGGAATTTTCCTGAAATGTTCAATGGTCAGTCCCCCTCTGCATGGAACGCCAACATCTTATGCAGTTTGGTCTTCTGTTTGCTACTGCATAAAGTGTAGGTACCTGTGATCCGGTGGGGGGCTCCTGGATCTGTCCCTGACGTGATGAGGTCACCCGGAAGTGACGTCACTGCATTGCTAATGTTGGGAGTGACGCTTTAGGTTTTGGGCAAAATTCTATGGGTTTTTTGGCTTCAAAACCATAGAGTTTGCCCAAAAACTAGAGCCTCACTCCCGACATTGACAATGTGATGACATCACTTCCGGGTGACCTCATCACACTGGGGACATCGCCTGGTGATGTCCATGTCTGGAGGTGGGGATTCCCCTGCCAGCCAGCTGGCCGGCAGCAGATTTAAGCCCCTAAAATTAGGGGAACCCCTGTCTGGATCGGGGGTCTGGCAACCCTAGATATAGCAAGTAAAACACAACCCTCAAGCAGTCCAAACTGAGGTTAGTCACTTCCAGTGTCCCTTGACTAATAAAGTCAAGATACAAGTCCACTAGCACCTTAAAGACCAATGAGGTTTCCGGGATATAAGCTTTTGAGAGTCGAAGCTACCTTTGTCAGATCACTGATGAAGACAACTTTGACTCTTGAAGGCTTATACCTTGTTGGTCTCTAAGGACTTTTGGCCTCTACTGGACTCGAATCTTGCTTTTGTACTGCAAACCAGCACAGCTACCCACCTGAAACTAATGAGGTCAAGCTCTGAATCTTCCATTTGTGAAATGCCTTCAAGTAATTTTATGGACCGCACATAAAACTGTGTGCTGATGAGCCCTAGCGCAGTTCAATTAGTCAACGGAGAGGGTAAGAAATTAGCAGCCTGGAAGCAGTTGAACAGGTGAGAAACATTCCGACTGCCAGTAACGAAGGAAAATGGCCTCCGGAAACCTCTTGCTGCCAGGACAGGCCGTGGAATGAAAACAGCCGGCCATAAGCATGGCATGTGGTGTGTTTCATACAGCCTCCGGCCAAAGTTGGTGTCTCACATTGTGCAGGGAATTTTACTTTGCAAGCAGCGGCCGGGGGGGGGGGGGGGGGGAGAGAAAGAAAGGAAAAGGTGCAAAGCAAGGAATTTTTGCATACATTAAAAGAGAGAAAATATTATCAGGGATAGAATAATATCTGCCATTTTTACCACTGAGGCAATCCCGAAACAGCTAAATAAACTAGGATTGCCAAATTGTTTTTAAAAAATCAAACAGATGCTGTTCAGTTCTCAGAGTCATTCTTTTGTACAGATTGAATGCATTCTGAGGGAAGCGGCTTATTCTTAAAAGAAGAGGGCCTCCTAAACATATGGGAGGCAGTTGGGTGTGTCCTTGCCTGGTCTGAAAGTTTGCTGCTGCTTTATCTGTCTGCTAGACAAGTTCTGCCTGTACACACACATGGACACATGAAACTGCCTTATACTGAATCAGACCATCAGTCCATCAAAGCCAGAATTGTCTACTCAGACTGGCAGCGGCTCTCCAGGGACCTTCTGCATGCCAAGCAGAGGCTCTGCCTTTGAGCTACATGAGATGGATGGACTCCATCATGGTCCATGGAAGCCTTTGGTCCATCAGAGTCAGTATTGTCTACATTGACTTTGTATTTAAACATAAAACTTAATAAAAAGTATTGCACACACAAAAAAAGGTCAGTATTGTCTACTCAGATGAGTAGCGGCTCTCCAGGGTCTCAGGCTGAGGTCTTCCATATCACCTCCTACCTGGTCCTTTTAACTGGGGATGGCAGGGATTGAACCTGGGACCTTCTGCATGCCAAGCAGATGCAGGAGCGCACAGGAACAGAGCTCCAGCAGTAAAGAGCCCAGGGGGTGGGCACATGCAACAAGCCCCACCCCCTGCTCCCAGCAGCCCTCAGTCAGAGCAAGAAGCAGCCAGGTAAGTTGCAGAGCCTCCCCCTGCCCCCCCCCATCCAAAAAAGTCCAGTGGCACCTTTAAGACCAAGTTTTATTCAGGTACAAGCTCTCCATCCTCTGCAAGGACAAATCTGCACGTTCCCCCCCCCCATAGCTAGCAATCCAAAACAGTCCAGTGGAGCCTGAGCGGTGGGTGTTGCCTTCTTACACACTTCCAGTGATGTCAGGGGGTGTGGCATATGCAAATAAGTTATGCTTATGATGTATGCTAATGAACTCCTGCACCTCTTTTTCTACAAAATGACCCCTGCTCACAAGACTCCACAGCTTTTTCCTAGCAGCCTGTATGCAGACAACAAGGCATGCTAGAGATGGGTACATGGTTTCCAAAACCAGAAGCCTTTCAGTTGTATTCCACACATGAGGGGAAGAGAGAGGGAGGAACAGGGAGGAGAGTAAGCGCATCCAAGCATAACAAGTTGGCAAAAAACAGGACTTTGGCGTGCCATCGGGATGCATAGGAATAACCTCTAGAAATCAAGCACTGAAGTTTATAAAAACCGGTAAAGAACTTTCTGCTTTAAATGATGAGCCAAAAGCTTCAATAAAAACAAAAATGATAAAAGGCAATGTCTTTTAAAATAAGGCCATGTAGCAGCCGTCTTCATAGGAGCTGTATGATAATATAGCCACATGCACATTCAGGCTTTCAGGCGCCTCTTGTTGTTGTTGTTGTTCAGTCGCACAGTCGAGTCCGACTCTTCGCGACCCCATGGTCCAGATCCCACCAGGCCCTCCTGTCTTCCGCCGTCCTCTGACGTTTGCTCAATTTCATGTTCGTTGCATCGATGACACTGTCTCACCATCTCATCCTTTGCCGTCCCCGTCACAGTCTGCGGTGATCAGGCGCCTCATGAATCTGTTTATTTGCCTTCTTAACTCCTCGATAGCACTTGAAAACTCCTTGAAGCAACTTTTGAAAATGCAAAAAGAGACTGCAGGGTCCTTTCCCTGCATGCACTGTTGGCCTGTTGACTGAAGGACCGATTTCCCACTAGCTGCTGTTCCGTCCTCGCTCTTCCTTTCCCCCCAATTCTATGTGTCAATTTCTCACCACTTGCTGCATGGCCACATTTTACCCCGCAGCTTCACCCGATTTTCCCTGCATCTTCTTGACCTTTTTTTTGAGGATTGAGAAGACGTGGGTGAAATCGGGTGAAGCTGTGGGGCGAAATGCGACCACGCAGCAAGGGGTGGGAAACTGACACGTAGAATCGGGGGCGGGGGGATAGTAAGAACGAGGATGGATCAGTGGCTAGTGGAATCGGTCAAGGAAAACAAAGTTTCATTAGCTATTTTAATATTTGCCTTACATATGTATCATGTGCTGTCAAGTCACAACTGATTTATAGTGGCCTGAGCAAGGGGCTTTCAAGGCAAATGAGAAGCAGAGGTGGTCTGCTCATTGCTTTCCTCTGCAGAGCCTTCCTTGGTGGTCTCCCAGCTAAGTACTGACCCTGCATAGGTTCCCAGGTCTGATGAGATCAGTGTATACCATACTGCCTTCCCTCTAGTATTTGCCTAAGTTCATATCAAAAGTACACATTCTAAAAAACAATTTCTATTATTTTTCCTATTCCTGTGTCTCCTTGAAAAAAAATCTGTTGTGTTTATAAATAGTATATTTATAAGCAGCATCTCCCTTTGAGCCTGTTAGCATATGAGCCAAGGTCTGCTTGTGAACTCTTTGCTCCTTGATATGTAGCACGGCTCCTGCAGAGGAATGTATAGATTAACTCATTTGCAGCAGACCCAAACCTGAGGTTGCTAGCAAGAAGAGGTGAAGCAAAAGTCTAAAATGCACAGTGCAAAGGGACTGTGATCTTAAAAGGAGCTTTGCTTTGATCTAGAAGGCCAAGATTCATAAGTCATTTCCATCTGCTTGCAGAGGGATCGCACCGCCAAGTGCCTGCTTTGATCTAGCAAGATCGGCCTTTGGAAAGCTTAACTTAATGGTAAAAGAATAAAGTCTGAGTCCAGTGGCACCTTTAAGACCAATAAAGTTTTATTCTGGGTATAAGCTTTCACGTGCATGCACACTTCTTGTATCTGAAGAAGTGTTTGTGAACACGAAAGATTATACCCAGCATAAAACTTTGTGGCTACCCACCTGAATCTATCTTAATGGCAAAAGCAACTGATGTTGTTTAGTAAGCCTCGGGGATGGCAAAACTAACCAGACTAAAGTTGGGAACTCAAAAGCGGGAGGGATCACAACCTTTGCTCAGAGTGGAAGAGACAGATGGTCTCACTGTGGCGAAGAAGAAGAAGGAGAAGGAGAAGGAGAAGGAGAAGAAGAAGAAGAAGAAGAAGAAGAAGAAGAAGAAGAAGAAGAAGAAGAAGAAGAAGAAGAAGAAGAAGAAGAAGAAGA